TAAATGTTTATTTTATTGCCTATTGGCCAATCTCAACAGGATCAGAGCTTCTAAATCAGGAGAGCTCAGCCCTATTGCCTCAGTAGAACTTGAGACTGCATTGTTGTTGAATGTTTTATGCTCTGAGTCGTTTGTTCTTCATTGGTATGGGTATATAAGGGTAAAAATACTTCAATCAACAAAGTCAGGATCCCTGGAAATATTAATTGCCATGAGTAGTTAATTCAGTGATAACTCAGGTATTCTTCCTGATGAGGTCGGTGCGCAAAGGGGTGAGCACATAAATTTTTGTTCGTTCAAATACAGCCCGGTTGATTGTGTTTTGGGGATGCAAGAGCTTAGAGCTCACCACGTAGAAATGATTCAGTTCAATCAAACTTTTGGTGTGGTGGGGTAGAATTCAGCGGCACTTACGGTAGGAATAAATTCAACAATCAGCACGCTGGATGAGTAAATAATAAACAAAGTCAATTTGTGCCAATAGTGTACCGAAAAAGTATCAATACGAATGGGACTGATGTAATTCATACTGTAGACTTGCTAGTGGAGGCACAAGCGTAATATGGCAGCCTCTCCTCAGCTTGAGTTTCAAGGATGGGAAGTGTTTGACATGGCACTGCAATAATATGGCTGCGCCGGCACAGCAATTCTTCCTCCCACGTTTTTCCTGGGTGGACAAGCAAGTAGAACCTCAATCTTAGAGACAGCGTTATAAATGGAAGACCTTTGTTGAGATTGAATGAGATTGTTTCAGATATAAACTGGAACGTGAGCGCGATCGCAAGATACTGGAAAAGACCAAGGCGAAGTCCTCTCTGCCTCGTTTTGAACTAGATGATTAGTGTTTTTCCTCTCTCGCCATTTTTTTCAGTTTTTGTCCAAATAGAATTTACTTGTATCGTTGGTTATGTTGATCTGCGCTCTCCAAATAAACTTGTTGGCATTTTTGTGTTTTATCAGCGTAACTAGTTCGACGAGCCTGCTCATATTTTCTCGATTATTTTGAGAAGGGATGAAATTATGTAGTTGTGTTTAAGTTTTATTGATGAATGGTCCTGTATATCGGGATTTGTCATTCAACTTAAACGACCGTCATATTCATTTTTCGATAACGCAACACGGTGACGTGGATTTGGTGGTAAGCGTCGGTGATTTGTTTTGCCTACGTTGGCGGTGTGTCGTTTTCGATGCTGAATGTTTTCCTAAGATTATTCATCACTAGTCATGTAGCCATGCTGGAGCTATTTAATAGAAATCCATTTTGTAAGAAAAAAGAGAGTATGGATTCATTTCATAGCATTTCTGGTAAATTTACAGTTAAACCATATATTAGGTTGAATCATAAGTCCTCGGACAATGGGATCAAGATGACTTCTAGAGATCGTAACTCGGGGAAGAGGTGACAAAAATGGAACCACGAGGCATCGTTAGATAGAGTATAAAAAGCTCTTCCAAATAGCTTGAACGTGAGGAGAGAAAGTGCCATGTCGGCGCGGCAGTCCATGTCATAGTGCTTCAAAGCATGAGGCACCCATCGGCGCTTTCACACCCTGCCGATTGAATTCAAACCACGAATAACTGTGGACTGACTCCTCAAGGGTGACTGCCAGCTCACGAGTAGTCTGGTACGGATAGGCTTCCNCCTGGCTCCGCAGCACCTCCGTATCCAGCTCCATTGAGAGTCCCGGACGGTCTTCATCTCCGATGGAATAGTCGTCCGACGTGAACTCCTAGTGCCACTTGTAAATTCATCGAGCAGCAGCAACCTTCTTGTGAACTTCCTTCATACGTCTATCAATCTCCGCGGGTTCTTGTTAGATAAAAAAAGAAATAGGATGGATGCGGAGGTGAAGCTGCGACGGCTTGAAATCATGGGGCATGGTTGCAGGGAAGAAAACAGATAGGTGTGTTCGTTGAAATGTATTTGGAAAAGCTTTTCATACTCAATCTAACGATGAAACGCATGTCCATTTACGTCGCTTCGTTCCCAAGTTATGATCATAGAAGTCATCACTATCATTTTGTCCGAGGGCTTATGACTCAACCTAATAATATGTTGGAAGGGTTATAGAACAAGCTTCATGTCTATAGTTCTTCCAGAATCGGACCCACATAGGTGTGTACAGCGTCTTTCTGCCTTCAATTGAGTGAGTACATATATAAGGGTATCAGGTGGAACGTTCCGAGGGAAGTCGGCTTAACAGGATTACGACATATCTTTTAGAAGTAGAAGAGCAGAGAGCGTTTTCTTAGATAATGTCATGGTTTTCCTGTAAGTTCCGAGCGGTAGACCCATCAAAAGCTCTTTTTCTCATAAGGCTGTGAGCAGTCTAAATATTTTGTAAAGGACCTGTAAATTCCCATGTTTTCGGTTTACCCTTTGTTTCAAAACTTCGGAACTTGACCTATGGTAAGGCTTTATAGCAATGACTTTTTGTTTTCGGATGAGTAGTGGGATTTATTGGGATATAAAACATTTGAAAGTGTTTTCCTTGTGATGATTGACCTTGCTTTTGGCTCTAGAATTCATTTAAAAGTAAAACTTTTCCTTGGACACCATGTTTGAGGTCTATGAAACTGGAGAGGACGTAGCAAAAGCTGAAACTGATTAAAGTATATATACGTATAGATATTCCAAGCCTCTTGTGAAAATGTTGCGAAGCAATCACTAGGCTAAGCAAGGAGATGATTTTNGCGTTCTTCAGGTATTTTGCTCTTTGGGAAAGATAGGACAGGTGTTCGAAGTGATATTCCCGGAAGCCGTAATAGCAGAACAACTTTCGACCCAACAACGAGTTGAGTACGACACGAAATTGCTGCTTGGAAGCGACGAAGTGGTCAGTTTGGGTTGTTCCGTGCAAGTCGCCATGAAATGTATTTGCTCCTATGGGGAACTGTCTATTCCAGGAAGGTTCGGACCTGTTTATACGGCGACTTGTGCTTCATTTAGCATCACTCGGCCGTCGACGTCGTCTAATTGTTTCTATAGGTATTGTTCTCTTTTTATGAACAGCCAGAAATGATTTTGGACAAACTGAGGAGCCAGCTACACCCTCCTTTATCCTTTGGATCTTTGTGTGTTCTGTACAAGCAAGTGGAGATGTCTGTCTAAGTGGTCGAATGTATTAGGTAAAGCTCATATTTCACGGAGGGAAATTTTTGCAGGTTTTGATGGCGTTTCAATTGAAGAGATTGCAACCGCTATGCAACAGATGCAGGATCGTTTCTAGGTTTGAAGATTTCCTATCTTGAAGGTCTTCCATTTCCAAAAAAACGTGGGCAAGTTCTCTAAATGATTGAGCACCCATTGCTGGTGAGCCCGTTCTTTTCTCCATAACACAGTCAGGAGTCAGGGCTTCCTTAGCTTTTGCTGTAGTGTCGGGGACCCATCCGCTGTCTCATTGAACTTGTCATCTACTACTTAAAATTCAATGAAAAAGCAGTTATCTGTCAATTTCCTTGCGCCGTCTGAAACTAGATTTTGGGCTTAACGCTGAAAAATTTCATTTTCAGATTTTGCTCAAGCGAGTCGAGTTCTGCTAAAACCAAACCATCTACTAGTGCTAAGGACGAAATAAAGAAAACCATATTCCTACCTCAGACTTCCTTTGTGAACCATGTCAAGTTTTCTGAACGCGGTTTACTCGATCAACAGGTCTCTACCTCTGGCGGTTTACCGACACTCTACGAATGGCAGCGAGAGCAGACCAACCGAAAAGAAGTGTACGTTGTTTTTTATTAATATCCAAGTGTTTTGTGTGTTGAGTATCCCACTTCAGAGTTGAAGTTAAGTCGAAGCCCGGAGAAGTGGTTTGATTCCATCTTGTTCCAAACTAATCTGGCTCCCCACGTTGAGCCGTACTGGAAATTTGCAACCAGGTCATTTCACTCGGGCGAGGCGTTACAGTAATACGTAGGCTGCCTTTTATATTTCGGGATTTGAGAACAGGATCAAATACTATTTATTGAAAATCGCTTTACTGCCTTTCAAAATTCTCCACATTAAGATCTATACACTTTTGCATGGGCTCAAACCAATTTTCGAAGCACTTTTGCCACTCTGATCAAGGTCTCTAAAACATGCATTCTGAACGCATCAACGGCTTCTTCAGGTGTCGAAAAACGTTGACCTCTCATTTTATTTTTTACGTACGGGATGAGAAGAAGTCACCCGGGGGCTACATGGCTGATGACCTGTCAAATCGTTGTTTTGAGTGCTCGAAAACGCAGTTGTTTGAGCCGATGTGTGGGAGCTCGCATTGTCGTGGCGTGGGATCCAACACCAACAAATTTTTTTACGGTCAAATGTTCATGCAAAAATGAATATAAGTTAGTCCCACTAATGCTTAAGGTTGCCTCAATCTCACGATAGGTTACATGGATTTCACAGTATTAGTTTGTGCACAGCATGAACTGTTTCCGGAACGACAACTGATTTTGGACGACCTCCACAAAATTCGTCTTCGAGTGAACTACGACTTCGGGTGAACTCACTGTACCATCGATAAACACTGATCCTGGATGGAGCTTCATCCCCAAAAATTGAACCAAGTTCATCCATGCATTGCTGTTGAGTTAGTCCACGTCGAAAGTTGTCGCGCAAAAATGCCCACGGTTAAACTCCATAACTTGGTCGAAACAAAAACTTATAACTTAGTGTAAACAACACAAATCGCGCTCAAATTTTGCAACGGAACCTCAAAATAGGCAAACTTTACGATAGTGGTGTCAGTTGCTAGATCCTCAAAATGCAAACTTTACGATAGTGGTGTCAGTTGCTAGATTGCTGCACTGGTGTTTCCAAATCCCGAAATATAAAAGGCAACCCTCGTACATAGGAATCGAAAGAAAGGCAGTCATGATTGTTCTTTTTTCGATTCTATCATATTGGAATGAAACTGGTTGCTCCGAGATGTTCCTGCCTTCACGCGTTCCCCTTTTTTTGAAGGACCACTAAGAATAACTCCTGCTACAACGTAGCGTAAAGAGCTTTCTGCTGCACTTCATTCCATCATTCTTTTGGGGACATGTAGGCCATTCCACTTTGTTAGATTACACTCGAAATGACTCCTCTTATAGAGAGTATAACACTCGACTATCGTTCCAACCGTAGCTTCCTTACTTGGAGGCTCAAGAGTACAGTATAGTCATCTTTCATTTTCATTCTGAGATCATTCTGTGTTTGAAAGATCATGTGCATAGAATTACTCCATATTTATGCTTAGTTGCCATACTGATCAGACAGTCCATGAGCTTCCTTTCAGTTTTGAGTTGTTGGATGGTCCTCCATATGCGAACGGAGTAGTTCACACTGGTCATGCCATCAACAAAATCTTGAAAGATTTTATTGTGAAGAGCAGAATTGCCCTCGGTTACAGGTAGATTGAATGGTGATGAGAAAAAGCAGTTTTATTAGCTACCCGGAAGATGCTCATATGTTTTGACTACTTTTTATTTTAGGGTCCGATTTCGTCCAGGATGGGATTGCCATGGACTTCCCATTGAGCTGAAGATCAGCAAAAGTGTCCAGGTAACCACTATATTCTTTAGTTTCGTACCATCAAAACTCCTTTTTCATTAGAAATTTTCGTTCAGGGAAAGTCACCTCTCGAAATTAGGGCTCTTGCTCGGCAGGTGGCCAATGAAGCCATCGCGAAGCAGTTGAACTCGTTCAAGTGTGTGTTCCATTGTTTTCATGAGCGCTCGAGATAGTCCTAAGCAGATGGTCTGATATGCGGCTTCTATCTTATAAGGAGCAATATGTCGGATGTATTTCTCGTCTTGGCTATGGTCGAAGCGAAATTTTCATTTGCTCTGGTTTACAAAGTCTGTTCGGGCTTACTCTTACTCCTTAGACGATGGGGCGTAACAGCTGCATGGTCCGAACCGTATCTCACCATGGATTCAATGTATGTTTCCGAACAGTTGCGGTTATTTGCAAAAATGGTCGAGAAAGGAATTATCTACAGGGCCTTCAAACCAGTTTATTGGTATGGTTTATCTTCATCCCTCAATTTCTTTCATATCCATTTCGATCTGCAGGTCTCCAAGCTCCCGTACAGCTTTGGCAGAGTCAGAATTGGAATATAATGATAAACATACCAGCACTGCTGTCTACTTTCGATTCAAGGCCAGTTATTTTCGAAGGTTTTGTGGGGGTGATGTTTGGTCTAACGACCCACTCCTACTGTTTTCAAGGTGATAGACGTCAAGCCGGAAGACATAGGACTCTCAGTTGAGCTGGGTTCGAAACCACTTGTTTTATACTCACTGGTGGGTACTTATATTTCTGTTTCAATTATTTGAGCTAACCTCTCTCGGTCAGTAATTATGCATTAAGATCCAAATCAGGAAGCAATGGCGTAACTTGTTTTAGATTTGGACTTCAACTCCCTGGACCCTTCCTCTTAACAA